TTACTCTCATTGGGTAACGTAACGGAATAGTTACAAAATAAATTTTGGGGCATGTATTCTGTATTCTGTAATCTCAAAAAGTAACCTTCCCAACACTGCTCATTAGAAGGCTCAGCACATGAAAACACATACTATATGCTAAAGGTTTTTGGTAACACATGCTTCTAGTCTCATACCACTATATACAACAATCATTTCTAATGGTGCTGTTATATTTCACCATTTGACTGCATAAATTAACAGAAAAAAATCAATAAAAAAGCACATCTTCACTTCTTTTATCACCATTTATTTCTCGGTAATGCTAAGTTTGGCCCTCCTAATGTTAGGTAATTGAATAATATGCAATTTATTGGTATTGATTTTATTACTTCAAATGGGATCAGATTCTTTGGGGTGACGGAGAGCTGGGTGAATGCCAGAGAGCTTGGCTACTGTACCTCAGTGAAGCCAATCCATCAGATTTTTCATCTTTTCAGAATCCTTAGGCTTACTGCTGGTGGTAGTCACTCATCGGTATAAATAATTGCTAAAAAAAAAAGTGCTGAGCAGGGCTAAAACTGGGCCAACCTTGTCAGTAACTCATATCGCTTATATGACATGAGGTCCCTGCTGATGTTGCCCGATGTATGCAAGTGAACAACAAAGTTTAGAAATCAGTTTAGGTCATTTTAAGTTAATGATATATACTTGATATTTAAAATCATTACCAATAATATGAGAACCCTAAGTGTGCACATGATCACCGTACTGCGGTTTCTGTGAGGCAAAAAATTGAAATACACACCCTGATGAAGCTAAATATCAGTTGAGCAGATTTCTCCTCCGTAACGTTAGGCAGACTGAGGTATGATGGTGCAAAATGAATTGTACCCGGAGCAATTTAAATGTCTGCAGCTCTAGATAGCATCTATAACACGTCTAGCTGCTACACACCGGGAAATGATTCACTTAGGTGACATTGAATCTGTGGCAATGCAACGTACCACATTGCCACAACTCCTGCTTCTGAGCTCATAAAATGGCAATTTACATTTAAGATTAAGTATTTAGTAGACACTGTCATTCAAGGTACAAATCACGAGTGCTTATTTAGGCGACATCCTTGTGATCGACAGACATTATGTTGCCATCCTCACAGCAGCTAAGAAAAATAAATAAAAAGAACAAAGTACAAAAGGATCAAGTGCAGTATGCTGTGTGCAGTCTGCACTGAGCTATAGGAGCCTCTTTTATAGTGTTTGAAGTCACAGTCGGGGAGAAATATGGACAGAAATAACTAGTATTGCATTTCTAATAAAACATATATTTCTCATACTATGAGTTACTCGAGAAAATGGCCTCTTTTGCATTGACATCTTGTAGTATAATTATTGAAGTAGACTTTATGTGTAGTGAACAAAATATGAAAGATTACTTTTCTGAGTAAGACACTATGTGGGGTACATAAGACTTTTCAGAGCTTTCAAATAGAGTTTCCACATAAATATTTGACATCAAAGAAAATTGAGTAAGATTTGAGTAAGACATAAAAATGAGACAAATGCGTTATATTATATTGTTCTGATTTTGAAATTGTAGAAATGATCATTTATGATATAATGAAATGATAAATACGCTCTATTTTCCCTACACTGCCTCGCTTTAATCTTACCTCAGTCACAGCGAAACTGCGCTTCCCGCAGGGAACGACCTTGTACCATTTGTCATGCAGCATGTCCATGAAGCCATCTGACTTGTACTGACTAATAAGCTCCGAGATGTTGGAAGTGAGTGGAGAGTTCTGAGGGAGGCCAATGCCATAGCCTGCCATTGGACACACACAAACACACACAGAGACTCTTTAGCGATTATTCTTCTGTCATAACGGCAAAAACACCTTTTTTCATGTCACCTTCATGCTGCTGTTGTATTCTTTCCCCGGTCTACAGCTATGGGAAAAACAAGCTGCTGAGCTGATACACTTGGAGGCCTGGATAATTTAGCTTTTTTAATTTAAAAAGTCATAATTTTTCCACCGCAAAGCTTGATGATATAATTATATCTCTGAACGTCTTAGCAGGCCAGGAAAGTGTGACAAATTCAGCAACAGCCAATTGCAAAAGTACCTTTCCTTGGTAGGAAGCGTGCTGATTGATGTGTATTGTATCTTGAAGGCTTAAGAGTGCATTAAGTAATTAACAACACCGCTGGAATGTGGGACTACGATGGCTTGTAATGGAAGCAACCGCCACGGGAACATTTTCACAGCGGGAGGAAGAGGCTTTCTAAATGGACCACAGATTAACAGCAGACACTGGAGAGTGTAAGCTTTTGAAAGCCAAAAGATTAACCACTGTGTAAACGGTGAGTGATTGATATTGTTAAATTTAGGCTTGTTCTAAAATTGCTCATGGTCAGTTAGTCTGCAGTGACGCAGAAAGACCTCTTAAAATCAGGTGATGATTAAAACCAGAGCTGGTGGATGCTATTCACATGTCAGAGTAGTGATAGATTTCATCTAAAATGTTCATAATTGATATGCTTGCACATTACCTTCAATTGCAAAAGGTTTTCCTACTGTTAGTGTTTTACAATCTGCATCTATGGAGACCTCATAGTCCAACAGTGCTTTGTCCATGATGAATGCATCCAATTTCTGAGGGTCAGCCCTGTAAGCAAAACAACATACTGTAAGTACACTGCAGCTGCAAAAAGTACCCTGTGCACATTCATAACACTCATCCAGCACAGCATAGTGATGAAATCAAACATTTGTGTTCACTCAAATGTTGCCATCATTCCTCAAGCTAAACAGTAAGAGATTATGCATATATTGTGCTGCATAATTTTGCAAACATAATAAGAATTCAAATATAATTGTAATAAATGTAATTTATATTGTGTGGGTCATTTTTAGGCAGTTGAACTTTGTAATACTACATCAAGTAAACAAACTGGCATTTGCAGTGTGATAGATGGATAATTTGCAAGACTCATTGAGTGATTCTCCCAATATCAGGTGACCAACAGCAAATCTTTTACACTATTTTAAGGCGCCTTCTGAATTTGACACGAAAAATTAATCTTCACTACCTCACGAGACAGTAACTTAAATGAACCTTATCTCATTGTCTCACTCTTCGTCTGTGACTCTGAGGCTTATTTTCCCTGTGTCTGTCCTCGTGTCACTTCACAGGGTGAGTAGAAAGAATGAACTTCACCTTCAGTCATTCTGTTTTAACAAGTCCTACAAACCTTTTTTATGCTCTACCTAACTTCATGTATAGGCCCTATGAAAACTGTTTGCATTTTTCTTCTCTGGAAATCAAAACATGCAAAGTTTAATTAACGGTAAAGCACGAAGACTGACTGCAGACATGGTGCTACTTAATGCACAATACAAACTGAAAATGAAACCGAAAACAGCGAGCAAAGCATAAAAGCATGCAAGAATGAATTGTTTTTCTTTGCGCTTGTGGGCGTTTTACAAAGCCTTTTAAATGGCAGCACACCCAGAAATTATCACTGAGAATGAAATGTAAGTGATTCAACAAATATTTTTGCCTTGTTTGAACTTCATGATTCTGATGCTGGCCTTGGCTTTACTTTTTCCCCAATCCTTTCATTGGCTACCTTTCAGGAAAATTACTGCCTGCCTACAGGTTTTTGCCAATTTATTTGTATTCCTCACAAGTCTGTTATATAGAGGTGAGATATTAAGTCACAACACTCTGAGAGGCTTTTACAAATCAACTTTAAAATGTCTTTACTGACAGCTAGAGTCTACCGGGATACAAACGCTACAAAGACTTTTTCAAGATATACTGTGTTTTGCTTGTTATCAAGGACAGTGTTTGAAATCTTGCACTATCTTCTCCCCGCAAGCTGCCTGTTCATTATTACCGGCTGAATTATGCTGCAGCTTGCATCCTTGGTCTTTTACCACAGCATGTCATTTATGGTCAAAGCACTATCTTGACATCAGCCATCTAACAAACTAATATGATTAAATCATGATGCATCCCTTTTTACATCATCTATCTATAAATCACATATTTGCATGAATGGAAAACACCACTACTGACATCAAAATGTCTGTGATGTACTTTTATGTAAAGCCAGAGTTTCCATTACTGTGGGGTTATAGGGATAAGTCTTTGCATTATGAAGTACACTCGCAGGTTGAAATTGCTCTCTAATAAATTGTCTTCTCTGTCGTATTAGAGTAACATTCCCTGTATATCCATTAATAGGCCAGCCGTAATGGTACATGACAGCTGTCTGATGGCTTGTAATGCTTCAGCCAGTGAACTTTTTCCAAATGCTCTAATTATAAAGAAGACAGGCTGCAGTCAGTGGTGTTGTTAGTTTGTTTCAGTAGCACTGGTGAGACATGGTCATTAAAGTTGAGACATTATTGAAAAAACAAAACAAAAGAATTGCCCTGATAAAAATCAGTGCTTACTGTAATCGGTGCCTAGTGTGTAGGGATGACAACTCCAAGTAGTCATCTAAATTACTGTATTTTCTCAAGCATTTCACAATGTGTGCTACATATACAGCAGCATTTTGTTTATCTGTCTTGTTTTTTTTTTTGTTAATTATCCATTTGATAAATAAGAGTGTGCCCCAACAGCCTGTGTGGCACAATCTTATTTACCATTCCCATGATCACTGTCAGCGTCATCAGCATGTTTGTAATGTTTACCTCCTTGTGAAAATACACTCAATATTCAGCTGTACTGCTTGCTCTTTGTTTGGTACACCTCTAGTACTGGGTTGGGCTCCTTTTTGCCTTTAAAATTGCCTTAATTTTTCATGGCATATATTCAACAAGGTGCTAGAAACATTGCTTAGAGATTCTCCGGGAAGCAGGCATCAGAAGATAGGAGCATGTGGTCAAACAAGCTCACAATGTTCAGTTAGGCTGAGTTTTTTTATTTTGCCCAAAGTGTGCCAAGAGAAAAAGAAAGAAAGAAACAAACCCCCCAAAACAAGCTTTACATTACACCACCAGCCCCAACCACTGATACAAGGCAGAGTGGATCTATGCTATTCTTTATGGCAAATTCAGACCCTACCTGATGTTGCAGTAGAAATAGCAACTCATTTGAACCAGGCAATGTTTTTCCAATCATCTATCATCCAATTTTGGTGAGTCTGAGTGAACTGAAGCCTCGGTGTCCTGTTCTTAGCTGACAGGAGTGCTCCCTCCATGCTCTTCTGCATACCATAATTGCAGTAAGTGGGTAACTGAGTTATTGCTCAGTCTTGTCATAGTCTTGTCATATTCCTCTGACATCAGCATGGCATTTTCACTGGATATTTTCTCTTCTTTAGGGGGTTTCCCTGAGATGATTCTGTGGGAAACTTCCATAAGATAATCAGAAATACTTATACCAGCCCGTCTGGCAACAACAACCATGCCACATTTAAAGTCACTTAAGATACCTTTCTTCCCCATTCTGATGCTTAGTTTGAACTTTACCAGGCTGACCTGACTATGTCGAAGTGCATTAAATTGCTTACAAATTGGTCAGCATGGAGTTTAGTCTGTTTGTCAACACTAGGCTTGCAAGGCATTGGAGGGTGAGGACAGTACAACTATAAATACTTTTTTTTTTTTTTTGCTAAACAGCAGTCTGGCATTGAAAAATAGATAAAAATATTTCTACATAGCACTGTGTACTTTGGAAAGTTGGTCCGTTCTTATTAGGAAGGAAAAAAGAAAAAAAAAAACATTGCTCACTAGAGCTGACCTCACTCTAATTACCCCTCAAATAGACATTGAAGCTGAAAAGACTACATTCCTCCACCCCACAGGCAGTACATTGAATTAATTATCAAAATATGACAAAAGATATGATCCAAAGTAAAATCCAAGAAAAGCAAGTATACTTACACTTCTATGAAAACTTTAGTGCAATTAGTGCAGTATATATTAGAGATATACTATCAGTCTGTTAGTGCACAAGTGTCTTGCATATGTATATACATAATGCTTAGTCCCTAGTGAAGTAAATCCCAATGCAGAGGATTGCATTGCGGCACATTTGTATACTGTCTTGTTGCCAAGTTGTAATTTTCTAAAGATGACATTTTTGCTTTCCCTCTAATCAGCATTTTACAAGCTCAGTAAAAATAAATCTT